ACCTTTAGCCGGTTGGCGAGCGCCACTCTTTCCGCGTTATTGATCACGCGGCCGTTTCGCGATCGACCGCGGTTCGCCGGTCGATAGGCATCGATGGCGGGGAAAATCCGGCGGGCCCGGTTAAAATTCAATAAAACCGGCGCATCGGGTCGTTCCGCGTCGGCGCCCCCTCGTAAATTCCCGCGAAGAAGCCGCCGCAACCTGTTGCTTAATTATAGGTTCTCGCGCGAGGCTCGTCTTTCCGTCCCGATTGGTATGCTGACCTCGAGAATCGATGCCACCCTTCTGTTCCACGAGCCTCGGTATCGCGGCGAGAGTTGCATCGCGGCCGAGTGGAATGGAGCACAAATTACGGTGGGACGCCGCCAGACCGTAACGGACCACTGGCATCCCTAGCACGAATAGGTGATAAGAAATGCTCGAGGAATAAGGTGACGGTAAGGAGCCTGAATCGTTAAAGAATGCAGGGACGCGAGGAATATCGCGCCGATCGACGACCTTCTCGCGAGGGAGATAGAAAAGTGGGACGGAAAAGTGGGATAGAAAAGTGGGATTTCGAAAGAAACGCGATCAAGCGGAGGATGGGACGGTAAATATCGAGCCTCCGGTGTTCCCTAAACGCATACTTAATCTCTAAACGGGTACTTGAGTGGGTCTTACTTGAGTAGGTCTTACTCTTATATTCAACAAAGAGTGTTCCACGTTAGTATTCCAAGGGTATGACTCCATCCGAAAGTGATGGGTTTGTAAAACGACAACAGAGTATCTTGTACTTGTCCTCTCCTCGTTTCAACTCTCGAGCAATCGTAAGGAGTTTTGCACTTGGATCCTTTCTACCTGGTAAAGTCTGTCAACGACAACAAACAACAGCAACAACAGAGTATCCGCGAGAGAAGCGTAGTAATCCGTGTAGTAATCCGTCCGTAAGTATCGGGGCCTCGCTCCATAGAAGTGCCGAAAGGATTTTAGTGACCATCGCGTAGGGATGCCGAAAGGATCGGGCACGAAGAATCGCAGCCTCCAACCGAACGAGGACGCGCTGGAAGATTTCAGAAGCAAATCCAAACCGCTCGAGCGAGAGTCGTCTTGTTCATTTTGTCTTTTAGGCCAGCGGTTCGCGGGTTCGGTTCGTAAACCCAACGGCTGGGTAGGCTCCCATTGAATCCCATCGAGTCTCGAACCATGGCGGACCGATAGCCATCGACGGACCTGGCATTCAATTCGGAATATTCCACGTCGGACAGGCTCCATCCAGATCCAGCTTTTATCACTTTGTCTCGCATCTATGGACGCGTATCGCTTGTCCCGACAGAGGGTGCCGCCCATTGAACGCTAGGACGCTCCGAGAGGGAAAGGTGCCAGGAAAAAGTGACGATTGCGGGGTATTTTGGACGACGCGGTCGATTTCCTTCACTGGCACGTATGCGCGGTCATCGATCTCTGTACTCGCGAACGAATCGACTTTTATTTCGTTTCCCGCGATCCCTCTCGTATTAACGCTAGGTTTACGGAACACGATCGTTTCGACCCGTTACCGAATCTCTCAACGAAAGTTACAGGAACAAGGGGAAGCTAAGGCGATGCATCCTGGTAAGGTACTTATCCCACAACAGCGGTAACCTATGGAATCTAGTAGACGTAAATCGAATTAACCGCTGAAGGTGTTAACTCCGTCATACCGTTTAGCCGGTATTACGCTATCTCTGGTTTCTTCGCGGCAGACAGCAGACGCGCGTTCTACGGAAGCACGTAACGATACCGTAAGGAGCGAGTTTACGACATCGTCCGTGGTAGAGGAAACGGCCTCGAACGTCCACTTACCCGGACCGTTCGACGTTTACCCTCGCGGTAACTTGGATAGCTAACCGTACAGACTTCGAGTCTATCACGAATTAACGTTCGAAGAGGCTTTCATCATTTCCGTTTTAGTTTCCATTTCAGAGTACCCTGTGTAGGAATTCCGGGGACTAATTTCGAACCCTTTATACGCTTTCACAAAATGTTCTTTATTGTTCAACTACTCACGCTCGCTACTCCTTGCATTCTAACATTCATCCTCACGTTCGCTCACCGTCTCTTGTATTCTCTGTCTGTCACGCACTCATTCTTCCTCGCTCTGTCTCCATCCTTGCCAATCGTACTCGTCTGTGTACACGTGACGAAATTCTTCGTTACCTGACCTCGCGTTCGAGCCGCTTCTTTCGTACGGAACAGACGCGCCCTTCCTGGCGTTTAAAATAAAGTTTCAAAGTCACTGGTAAATTAAAAGTCCAGCTCGTTTATTCCGCCGCCTATATTACCGATGAGAGCACGGCGGTATCGTTCAAAAAAAAAATTGCATCGATCCCCGCGGCCAATTTGCGCGCGAACGTTCGAACGTTGTAACGGGGCGTGGAGAAGTGGAGCACATTCGGGGCATTCGGTTGTTACGCAAAATAGTCCTTCTTTCCCCGACGGGCGGAGGGGGGAGGGGTCTAAGCATCGGCAGGCATAACGATCGCGGAACCTGCGGAAGCGGAATCCGTGGAACCGTAGAAATCGTCGATCCTCGAACCGAGGGTTGCCTATTCTTGGCTGACGACTCGCCGGCCCCAATTTCGCATCGATGGAAACGACCGTGGGGGTTGGTTTAGGAGGAAGGAGGCCAGGGGAGGGAGTTGATCCACCGCGAAGAGGTCCTCTCAATCTGCAGTCGATTTTCTCGTGCACCGACCCAATTTCGAACCCTGTGCGGGCAATTTAACCCGCGTCCGCCTCTTCCTTCCATATCTTCCCGTCGAAACACCGGTTCTTTTTTTTTTTTTTCTTTTTTCACCAACGAAATAATCCGTCGAAACTGATTTCGGAAACGCCAAAAAAAGACGGCCCGAGATGTTGTACAGGGGTATCGCGCTTTAATCGCGATCTGTCGACGTTGGCGTCTTCCGTTCTTAACCTTTTAACTGCGAACGGCGTATGTTCTCAACCCGTTGCATTCGGAGCCGCTTTGTTACAGAATGTGCAAACAGGAATCCTGTCGTATTACATAGTGTAACTTACAAGGCGTGTCATTTACTGTAACGATCTTTGTCTGTAGACATCGGGGAACATATTTATGTTAAAAATGAAAATCTTATATTATTCTAATATGTGATCATGCAACAGTCGTAGATATGCATTGATAGTTTGTATTTTTCAAGTGCAATCTTAGGCTTCCTTGTTTATAGAGATATAGAGATATGTTCCCACATCTTGCTTTCTTACACAAATGCTCTTCGTCGCTTTCTTAAAGTGTAGCCTACTCACGCATTCTTTTTCCATGTAAGCTCACATTTGTTATATATATATATCTTGATACATGTACCATATTTTTATTCTGCAAATATTATAACGCGAACTTTACTTTCGATCTTTCTTATATTCTTGCATATCGTTTGCAAGAACGTTGCATTTTGTAGGTTCTTGCACATTCAAATTTCCTATAAATGCATAAAGACGCGCCGTCTACTAATCACTAATAAAGTTTGCCCAGACTTGGAAATGTCCCCTCAGAAGTGACATCCGCAAAGAGTTAAAATGTGAATAAGCGCGGAAAAGCCCTTCAATAAAAAATTCCTTATAAAATACTAAGAATTCACGCTCTAAATCGGAATACCTCCTTAAAAATTTAGTTTCGGCCCAGAGTTGTAGCACGATGTTTTATTTTACTCCCGTTACGAGTGTATCGCCCCGTCCAGCGTCTAAACGATATTTATAAAGGCGGTGCGGGTCATGTTTGCGGGAATTCATCGAGAATTCCCGGCAACAGCACCGACGCGGTATATCGTCCGGCTGCGACATTGTTGTTCCGCGGCCGTACCCCCTGTTCTTTGTTCGCCGATGACCGCGTCCCGGGACGCCGGTTGCATTCATAATTCGTCGGCAATTTAGAAAATCACCCGATCTAAAATGTCTCCCGACCTCCAGCCTCCGCTGTATTCAATTGACCGTACGCGTAACTTCCTTGCAATTCCAGTGACACTCGTACGGGCGTACCGTATATTCGCGAGGCGAAGCAGTTTCTACCACCCCCGAATTACCATATTCCACTTTGCGCTACGTGTTTCCGGGCCGGGTTTGGCCCAGATTTCGCTCACCGACTTAATAAACAGAGCCTTTAGCGGCACGCGTACGACGCAGTTTCCCCGCTTAAATCCGGTTATCTTTTATGAGATTTCTGCGTCGGGTCGCGTACGCCACCCCGCCCCTGCATCATCGGCAGGTTAGACCGCGACCAGAGGGCGAAAGGAAAAATTAGAGGGAGATAAGCTGGTGCACGGGTATTTGTTCCGGAAGCTAGGGAACATATTCCTATTCAGGGGATAAATATAACTGGCTGAATAGAATTAGCATAATCCACTCTGTCCTCCCTCCGGACGCCGTGGTCTCAAACTTCGAAAGCTGCTACGTTACCTCGTCTCGGAAGAAACACCTTCGGAACCTTTGAAAATTAACCGTTTGCACTCTACGTCGTCTGAAAATGCGAGAACAGGAATTGCGTTACATGAAATAGTCTAATTTTAGAAATGTGATTACGAATTCTTATAGCATTCTCGAATCTTTGACGTCGCTGCAAACGTAAAGGATTTATAAAGGATGTACGTTTGCAGTGGTGTCGCTAAAATCAAAACTTGTTAGACTTATATATAAACGGGTTAAAAAGAAAGTATTCACTGATGTTATTCGACAATAATAATTATATTTTTAATAATTTAATAATTTAATTTAATAATTTAATTTTCATTCACGACGAATATGAAATGAAGGTTGGTAAATATTTTGTGACGATTCATTGATCAGGTAACAATATATATAATTATGAAAAAATATAGTTTTAGAATTTGTTTAAAGCATACAAGAATATGAAATTAAAAATTGCAGGAAAAGTTGTAAATTAGTATCTTCTATAATATAATATTCCTCTTTGTAACATAAGTATAATATTCGTATGGATTTCGATGGGAATCGTTGTCTTGTTTCAGGGTGAGGGGGCATGTCGATGTGCCGGCGGTTCCTGCTGATCGCAGCCGCGATCACGGTCTCGATCGAGGCTGGCTCCGCTAGTCATCCAGGGATCTCGCCAGGCTATCCTGGATATCCTGGCTTCGCTGTTCGCTCCAGCCTGACGACCTCCGAGTCCCCGTCGAGCGTCGCCGTCACGCCCACGCCAAACCTGGACAATGTGCCTACCTGCAGGTACTCCTCGTATTTCTTCCGAAACTGACTTTCCCTCTCTTTATTTCAGAAATTCGACATTCATATTTTCACTATGGCACTTTAAATTAATCAGACAATTCGATGGAAACAATTCTAAGAGCACTTGGCAATTTCACTAGTAGAGTTGGTCTACGTCAGGGCTTCTGAAATATTTTTCATTCGTGATTTTCATTTATGAATATCGTGATTTTGTTCGCAACCAAAAGAATATAAAGTAAAGATACGTAAATATTTTGTGACGATTTATTGATCAGGTAACGATATATATATGTGAAGAAATATAGTTTCAGAATTTGTTTAAAAGCACACAAAGATATGAAATTAAAATTTGCAGAAAAAAGTTGTAAAATTGTAATGTTGTAAAACTATAGTAAAACAAAAATTATATACCCTACATGTATAAAAGAGAATATTAAATACTTTACATTCAAATCTCGCGACCCATAGTTTATCAAGTCTTGGTCTGTGTCAACAAGTTGACGGTAAAAGCCAGTTTCAAGTAAATTCTTACGATTAATTAGGTTAAACTTCAGACAGTACAATTTACGACCGTAAAATGCAACTATTCCATTCCTCGCGATTCGTTTCTCTATTTCCACGGGAGCTTACAAAAACGGGATTGAATCGCGATCGAAAATAGTTCCCGAGAGTTTCGAGCGATGGATCGCTATTAAATTGTACGCGTGTCCACGGGAAGAGGGATGATATATCTCTGCTCGGAGAGGAGCGAATTCGAAAGGATACTGTAACGTTTTATTTGCATTCCATTTGCAGACCTTCCGAGTACCTATGCGGCACAGGAAACTGCGTCGCCCAGGACAAATACTGCGACGGCGAAAATGACTGTGGCGATAAGTCCGACGAGCCGATATATTGCACCCGTGAGTCCCCCGATTCGCGCGTTTCGTTCGATCGTTGCCAGCTGCTTTCCCCGGGAAATTCAAATTCTCGTGGAAAATTTGAAATTGATATTCTCGCCCGCGGATGATCCTTCGACAGCTTTCTCGCTTCGAAGAAGAACCAATCCTTGGGAATCCTTCGAAGATAATAGTATCATCGTAACTCCTTTGCCGAGTCTGTGCCCCGATACAAGAAAACAAGCGGTACACTTCACCCCTTTTTTCTAATTCTTCATAAATTTTCGTAAATTGTCTTCGAAATGCATTTTGTTATCGAAAGCTCGTGTAGAGCCACGAACACGAACGGACCAAAAGTCTTTTAACCCTTTGCACTCGAGGCCTTTTTTTTCTGCTATCTACCAGCGACTCGAGATGCTTTCTTAGCATTGTATTGCCATGAATTCTAAGCTGTCTAGATTTGAAAAATACGGTCACCTTTACCTCGATCGCGATCATTTCATCGACACTTCGAGTTCCAAAGAAATTAAACCTAAAGAAACAGTATTGCTGATAGATTTGCTGCGTGAAACCTAATGGCGACTGCGAGTCACCTCTCGAGTGGAAAGGGTTAAATTTCTGTTACGAATACCGCGCGCGAGAAATCCCTTGAACCCCTTCGATAATTGAAAGCAGACTCGCCGCGTTCGAGCGCGACAGAAGATAGACGAGAACGAAGGGAATTGCGAGAAATGTCCCGTGTCTGTTTAGCGTGCAACAGAACCTTGTACGGTGACGTTGGCAGGACCTACAGGGTGGAGGTCCGTAGGCCGAGGGAGGATCGACTGCCGTTGCTATGTCATCTCAACTTCACCGCCGCCGGGTCTGACCTCGGAGACCTAGTTCAGGTGAGACAAGAACGAACTCGAATATCCTTGTAGAAAATAAATGCCGACCAGAGGCTGCTCGCTCGGTACTTTTATATACGACTGAATTTTGTCAGCCTGCAGGACCGTTCGCCGTACAAGTATAAAGTTAACAGAGTAGCCGCAAAAAATTTTACCGAGATCCTTGACGTCAGGTCCGGTAAGATTCTCTCGTAAGTGACCTACCTCTGATGCTGCCCGTTTCCCTACCGGTGCCTTCCCTGCCAGTGGAAGTGGTCCATCACGAAGCGGACGGAGTGCTTCGAGAGTCCTCGTTCCCGGATAATCATTTTTTTCTCCGTCCGGAACGCGTCGTATTTTAGCGAAAATAAATTGTCTCTCGAAATTGTTCCCGTAAGTTTGTTTATTTCTGTGTTTCGTTCCTTTTATCTTCTTTCCGTTCGCTCGGTTCTCCGCGTCGGATGATTAATCAGTACAATTTCGTCCGCGATAGCCGCGCGTCGGGTTGCTCGCAGGGATTCTCGTTGGGAAAACGGAACACCGTCTTAACATGGAACAACTTTTTCAGAATTAGTTCCCGCCAGCGAACGAGGAGTTCGATATTTTACTCGGGACACCGACGCTTTAATCATTGCGCCCGCTTTAATTCATATCTGTACTAATATCGTAAGGAGGTAAAGTTTGTTTATAAGCGTGCGCTTAGTGTACGCTTTATGAAAAGAACGTTACCGAGGGCGTATCGTCACCGTGTCGACCTTAAGCATTGTATCATTTTTAGTATTATATCTTTCCATGGTTTCGCTTGATTTTTTCAAGCGCGTAACAGTACTTCGGTTATTGCGCCGAATCCGTACGTCACAATACGATTATTTCTATTCCTCTTGACATTCTTTTGCCTTACGTAACTCGTTAATTTTGGTTCAGTTCGCGTTATCGTAACTCTGTACGTACGTTAAATTTACGTTAGTCTTCAGGCTGTGCGTCTGCTGGGGCCCGCTGGCTCCCATCTAGCTCTACCACGGGGTTGCTTAGCCCATACTGTACTAAGCTCCTGAGGTTGCTATGATATCGTACATTATCGTGCTTAACTTGTAAAGAACGTCTTCAACGCGTTGCAGTTGACCTTCGACACTTTCACCGTGGGCCGATTCCTGTCGTTCACGTCCGAAGGATGTCCCGACGGCTTCATGACCATCCGCGAGGAGAGTCGTCCCCCTACCGGAGGACAATGGTGCGGGAGCGCATGGGGATACACCGTTTATTATAGCGAAACTGCTTCCATCAACTTGACCTTGTATTTGTTGCGGCTGTCCGAGGAGGTAAGACAAAATGACGGAGGGAGCACATTCGCGAAGTGAGTCCTTCGTGAAGCTGCGAACAGCTGACACTGAACCGATCATGAACCGTCACTGGCGCAGGGTAGCGGCTACAAAAACTTCGACTTCAAATTGTCGTACAAGTTCCTGAGACGCAGCGAGGCTCATCTCAGATACGGGAACAGCAGCATGTCCACGTGGAGAGGGGAGCTGGTAAACGGCACTTACTGCGATCGTGTCCTCACCAAGTGCGACACGCGAGCCTGTCGACTTCAGTCGCCGAATTACCCGGGTGTTTATCCTAGAAACGTCACTTGCTATTACCGGGTGGAGCAGAATCGAGCGCCGTCCGGCCATCGGGCGTTGCTGGCCGTGAGTCAGCGGAACAGTCATAAAATACACATCAAGGACCAGCTCGCGAAGTACGACGGCAGCCAAAGGGTATTGAGGTACTTTTCCCTCGTTCGTTTTCTACCCATTTTCTCTATTAACCATTTCGAGCCGATTATTTTTTCTGGATTCCGTTCGTTTCTCTTTCAGAAATTGCGTTAAACCCTTCATTTACTGGCGGGACTTGCGTGTCCCGTCGATTCTAGGAAGTTCGTTTTGAAGTTTTGACGGCGGCACGAGATTTTTGGAAGCTTGTTAGAGACAACTCTGTAAGATGAACGCCTAGAGTTTTTGAAACTTTTGAGAAATTTAATAAATATAGGGTTAAACTAGGCTTGGGTATATATGAAAGGATTATCATATCTTGTAGTTGGACAAGAAGAGGTAAAATTGCTTCAGAGCGAATGATTTTCATTTCGTTGATTTTCTTACGGGAGGGGATGAAAAAAGTGTCACTTTTAACGCGCGGGATTTCCACGCTTCCGACTTTTTCTTTTGGAGCAATTTGCTGGCTTAGCGATTCGACGGGTTCCTGTATAATGGATGGACCGTTCTATTCGTTTCACTTCAGAGTGTGGGATCAATGCAACGTGGTCCAGGATTACTTGACGGTATACGACGGAGGATCGACCTCCGATAAAGTGTTGGTCAGACTCTGCGGAGGGGACGCCGTGCCTGACATTGTTAGCAGCCATAATACGATGCTCTTGGAATTTCACACATCGCCGTACGACAATCCGTTCCATCCCGTTCCTTTGTCGTTTCTGCCAGGATTCGAGCTCGAGGTTCAGGTAATCCCTCGCGGAGTTTCGTCGAATTTTTTTAACGATAAGATTCCCGATCGAATCTTCCAGCCCGTCGGAAGTATCGTCTTCCGTGGATCTGTGGATAGAAACTGGAAGTAAATCGTTTGTAGGTGATCTTCGTGGACGAGAAGTCGCGGAGTTTCGTAAAGGAGAACAACAATTGCGATTTTTATATATCCAGCGACGAGAGTTCGTCGGGAGCGTTGGAGAATCCCAAGCACTCGTTGCCTCCGAACACGACCTGTCGCTACCACTTCCAAGGAAAGCCGAACGAGATCGTCTGGTTGTCCTTCGTCAAGTATTACGCCGCCAGTGCGGACGCCGCGGCGAGCATCGACGTTGCGTCCGATTGCAACGCGAAACTTCTCATCTGGGACGGTGACCACACCCTAGATAAATTAATTCCCGCTCGTAAGGTAGGCCTTCCATTTCCCTTTCCATTTCTCGAGGCTCCGATCTTATCGATGGGATTCACCTGTCGCCTTTTGTTCGCAGAATATTACGCTGATGGGTCAGTTTTGCAAGGACGACACGCCACGACTATGCGACCACAGCCTGCTGCGAAACGGGAGCCGCTACACGAGACCCTGTAGTCTCGCGGAGAGCTACGTGTCGACCGGTAGAGACCTCACCCTGGAACACATTCTACGTCAAGGAAGTGCGCTTTACCCGATAAGCTTCGTACTGCGATACGAGTTCGTGCACGAGGCGGTTTCCTGCAACCACGCGTTCGGCTCCGTGTCGACTTCATCCACGTCTTCCACGTCCTCTTTATCCTCGTCGTCGTCGTCGTCCTCGCTCTCGTCCTCCGCCAATTTCGGCAAGTTCGCGTCGCCGAAAAGTGTGTTCTTCTACGGGCGCGGTGGTGCGCAGAACGTTAGCTGTGTTTACCGTTTCGAGGCTGAACCCGACCACAGAATAGAACTGTCCATAACGAGAGCCTCGTTCGGGGACAAGGGATGTTCCTCCTACGTGGATCCGCTGGTCAATCGGTGGACCTGCGATCGCCGCGTAACCGATTCTACCAAGTACGGCACCTCGGAGCTCGTCGTCTCCGAGTATCCCTGGCAAGGGGTGGAATTGGTACGCCTGTTTCGGTAACTACCGGCTTGGCGAGACGGTTTCCTTTTGTACTATCGGAAAGAACCGAAGGAACCATCTCGTTAAACCAATTTTAGCGTACACTATCGAGTAGAACGTTGATTCAGTACAATTTTCATTGCAATATTCAGGTGCGCGACTGCTTGTGCTCGAACGTAAGCGAAAGAATCGTCCTGCGAACTCTGACGTCCAACGTGGTCGAGGTTCGATTCGCCGTGACACTGATGAACGTCACCCAGGACTACAGGGACTTCTTCTTCGAGGGTGAGTACCGCTTCGTCGCCCTGGAAGGGGAAGCGAGCGAGCAAGTTTGCTCGACGAAGCTCGAGGAACGACGATTGCGCGGGACCAGCGGAGAAATCTCTCTGAGAAGCCCTCTTCCACGGATCATTCCTGGGGTGGCAGCCGTGGAGGAGATCCTGGCCAACACGGAGGACCTCACCGCGACCCAGTGCGTCAACGAACCCTGGCTGATCGAGCCAGAGGACGCGCGTATTAATTTCCTGTACCTAAGAACCGCCGGGTACAGCATCACTTTGGACAACGTCGAGGAATGCAGGACGTTGAACCGTATCATCGTTTATTCGGCGTCCAACACGAAGGATCGCAGTGTAATTTGTCCCGAGAGCGGTATCAGCCACGACGCCAGGACGGTCGACTTTTTCTCTGGCGGTTGGAACTATACCGCGATAAACGTCACCGTGGCGATGACGCAACATTCCAGAAGCTTTATAGTCGAATTCCTTCAAAGGGAGCCCGGCTTCTATGCTGTCACGTGGATAGCTATCTCTAAGCGGTCTCCTACTCCAAGCGTTGGTCCAAACGTCTTCACCGTACTACCCCAAGAGGAATGTCCTTACAGGTTAGACTGATTTCACTTGGCGCAAGCATCGCTTTCCAACGACGCTACGAGCTACAGACATTCTCCATTTCCATTTTCGTTGTTCAGCACTTTGCCAACAGACCTTGCTCTCCCTTTCCAGGTGTCCAGAGATCCAGGCGTGCATAAGTTCGGTTTTATGGTGCGACGGCATCCGTCACTGTCCATCGGGCTTCGACGAGGAGGAAGCCAACTGTTCGTACCGCTTCAGCGTGACTTTGCTGTACGTGGCCGTCGGGGCCGGTGCGCTCGGTATATTCTTGATCCTGTTGCTCGCCACTGGCTGCCTCAAGTATTGCCTCTACCGCCACAAGGCGCGGAAGAAAAAGAAGAACGTCGCCGTGAACGTGAACCACCTCCACGTGAATCACACGCACCACAACAACGGCCTCACCGGAAGTCGCTTGAGCGGGCGCTACAACCTCGCCACGCCGCAGGAGATGTACCTGGAGAATTACGGGAAGGACAGTATTTGTTGACAATACGCCATCGCCGATATCGAGACCACCGTGTGAATAATTGCAGGATTTTTAAAATTACACTTACCTCGCAGGGGCCTCTGGATCCCTCCCGCGGATGAACTGAACGAGAAGCAGACGAACCGTCGACTGCTCGTTCCCCCAACCGACAAAAAGAAACGTCGACAGACGCGCAGAAAACATATACGCAATAATCGTAATTCCGTAGACCAATTCTCGAAGGCATTTAACGAACGGGTCCGAGTTGCTGGCGAGTATCAGCGATGATCCACGGTACGCTTCAATCGTCGTTCGTGTCTAAGAATTCGCGAACGTGTCGCGTGTTCAAAGATACCGATCCGTACGAAACAAGGTGAGTCCTTTTGCAGCAGCACCTGTTCGCTTCCAAACGTACCGTCAACCTGCGTTTCTGGTTTTACAGTATTTCAAACGTATCGTGGATTTTTCGGTTAGGCGAAACGTAGATCGAATCGCGCGATGCTCGCGCGTATGGTTTTCGCGAGAAAACCGCGGTATCACGGTAGCTCTAGGAACACACGTTAGGTTAAAAGCGGTGAAACGGAGAGCGTGTAGAGCGCGACGGGTTCAAATTAAAGAAACGAAAACGAAGAGTAAAAGATAAAGGGGAGGGGGGTTGGGGGGGAGGGGATGCGAAACGCAAGTATATGCTTTTAAAACGAAGTAGGAAACGAAATTTGCATCGGGAGAGAGAATTTTATCGCGGTCGAGTGCCGAAGGGAGTGCCACAAACGTCCACGATGGGAAACGACGACGGTGAACGGAATTTTTGGCGGGAATACGTGGGGAAACGACGACGGCGCACGAGTCGAGAGTCACGCGATACGGATCGATACGAATCGCATGGGAACGTCGGGGGATTAAAAGCGAAACTACTGTGATTTACACTCGAAACGAGAGAAAGATAAAAAAAAAGTAAACGCTCGAGATCACGTGTCACGAAAAAATATGTAAAAGAAAAAAAAATCGTAAAAAAAAAGAAGAAGAAGAAGAAGAAGAAACAGGAAGATAATTTCGACCGACGTTTGTCACTTTCAAAGTCTGTTTTACTTTATAATTTTATAATTGTCATACAACTGTCCGAACGACTGAATTCCGAACGAATTCATACGCGATTTATCCTAAGAATTGTTACGACCAAAAAATCAACCACGTGTTTATCACCGACCCTCCCGTTCCATCACATTATCGAATCGATCGGGGTGTAATCTGCGTCGATCCGTCGATCGATTCCGCCGTTTTTTATAAGAGACGCGCAACCAGCACGTTCGTTAACGCGGGAGCGTAGCGGCGCCCTCGTGAATCGCCATTACGTATTCGCTGCCGATGGCGATGGATCGAGCTCCAGACAAAGAGATTATACAGATTACTATATAAGAAATTATATATCTATGTAATTATAGCTATCGTTATATACGTATCTATGTAATCTCTTTGGTTCCAGACGATTACGAGCAGAGCTGGGCACAGGGCCGGCGCCCCGATGCAACTTCCAATTTAGACGTCCCCTTCTAACTAATGTTACGCGAATTGAACATAAACGAAACCTGGGTTTATATTAACATGTATCGAACAAGATGTAATAACACTTTGTTACATAACAATATTATTGCACAAATTATCAAGTGTGGACAGTCTTGTTTAAAACTTATTTTCCTCGCTCTTAAACTAGGAATCTCGTTGATAATTATATACCGTCGCTCTGCGAAGCTACACTCGAGCACGATTGCGTTCATCCTTGTCGATTAAACGATTTTTCTATTCCTTCGAAGAAGCGCTCCATCGTTTACCACCACGCGAAGCCGGCCCTGTCTGGGCAAACTGTATTTCAAATTCGATCGAGGCGTAAACGTTTCGAAGTAACATTTACGAGTTATTTAGATTTAAACAACTATCGACTCGTTTGAGATAAGAGCATTTTTAAACATGATAATTTATTCGAATAAAATCGTTTCACTCTTTTTCTTTCTTTCTTTCTTTTTTTTTTTTTTCATTTCGATCGACACGGAAATAAAGTAACATGTTTAAGACGACGAATCGAATAACATTGTTTCGGGGGTGCCCAGATCCGATTATCCAAACGCTACTATATACAGGGCTTAACTAACTCGAGTCACTTTGAGGACGAACCGGGAAGTCCTTAGAGGCTAAACAAACTCCGGACGCCGGATATCCTATGCTCCTGCATTAAACTGAGATCCTTACCTATTCAGATTTCATAAGTAAATAACGTTTATCGAAGATGATATGACATATAGTTAAATCACACATGTAACCTAGGTTTGATATCGACGCGCGAGGCTTGTGACTGGGACGTAGAGATCGATGTATAGTTGATTATCGTTTAAACGTGCGCGAAAACGAGAGAAACAATGGGCAAACAGAAACGACACAACGCGTACATTGTAACCTCCCCCCTTGTTACGAATGTGTCGACTATTAAAGGCACGCGTGCGAGGAGAGGATTCACATTTACATACCCACGTACATACATGCACACAAACAGATACGTATGGTAAAAAAAAAAGAAAAGCGCGTATAACTTACGTCTGTATGCTGTGATAGAAGTAAGCGTATCAACAATCGGAAATAAATTTCTCGCGTGAAATTGATTTCGATTGCGTGTACCCTCCGAATCCCATAATCGAATCTAGACGTAGATTCCCTTCGGTTGCTCCTCGAACATACCGCCTATCGATTCTGTACTTTTAATTTTAATTTAAAAAAAAAAAAAAATAACAACAACAACTAAGAATAATTACACATATGCCTCAACGTTTCCGAAGAAGTTGAGGTCGCTGTTACATTTTCTAACACTCTCTCTCTCTCGACCTTCGAAACTAACAAGCACAGTGGTTCAGTCTTATTTACTCTCACTGCCCGACCACATCTTAAGAAGAACGTTACTTCTGAAGACCAATGTCGGCCAGCTATGAATATCGTAGCACGAACGAACCGTTCGATGTAGGTCAGCTGTCGCAGCAACAATTTCTCCAAGTTCACCGAAATACGTTCCCTTTGATGCAGCGACGACTCTCGACCTTCTCCTTTTCGATTTTTATCTCGTCTGGAAATCTCGAAAGTCTTTTCTTCGCGTGGTCCTCTTGAATTTTCGTCTTTCACGAAATTAATGTTTGCCGAAGAAACACCCCGTTGGAATCCTATACAAACGACGATCGCGATAATGCAAATAGTTCCGAGTACGCTGGTTAATCACGAAAATAGAATATGGATGCGTGAAATCCTGCGGTCATCGAGAAACATCCATCTCGATCCATCCATATTCCAGCCGTAATTTAAGTTTGTCGATCTGATGTGCTTTGTCTTCGGAGCTTCGTTGATTTTGAGACTGGCACTCCGCTCCGCGATGAATCTCATGAATGTTAATATGTCTAGTTACGGACAAAGAGTTATTCACACTTTAACGTTTGTCGTATAAGCGTTACTACTTCTGTTTTTATTTTCTATAAATTGACGAAATAAAGGAAAGTATGTTCGTGTTAAAAATACACCAAAAATCCATGTTTACTTACCGGCAAATTGGTTAGTTCAACGATATTGCGTCGTACTTCGTCTGCGATTACGTTGACGGTAGTTGAGTACGTGGATTTGCTCGAGTAAAAACAATTCAAGGAGTAGCGTAATCAATATGAAAAAATTTATTAACAAATGTTTCTATATTACAAGGACGACTGATCGATGCCCAGACCAGTATTCTACCAGGAATGGCGAAGTTCAACGACGAAGAGTAGCTGCGTTGGTTACGTTGATTCGAACATGCCTATGCCCAACAATAAGTTTCTCCTAGAGAAATGTAGCGCCAGAACAGGTGAGTTCTTCGTTGGAAAAGTCCTCAGAAGATACGTCTCTGCGTTCGTTTTCACGTCTGGGTTATGAGACACGTTCACGTCTTCTAAACTCATTTCCTCCGCGAGCTTCGTAAAGTCCCACAACTTAATCGTTGAGTCTAACGATCCTAAAAAGTTATTTCGCAATTGACTATGACACCTGTCATACTTATAATAAAAACTACCAACCTGAGACCAATATATTGCCGTCCCTGCTAAACGTCAAACAATGAATAGTACCGGAATGACTGGATAAAGCAGCGACGAGGTGGCCATGCGCTAAATCCCAAACTAAAACGCGGTGATCTGCTCCAGCTGACGCTAGAAATCGACCATCCGCGGAAAAAGCAAGGGAGTAAATCGGAGCTTTGTGTCCAGTCATTAATCTGACTTGGCTACCGGTTACGCAGTCCCATAATCTTACTGTCATGTCGCTGGAACCGGTCGCCACATAATTCGAGTTTGGGTGAAACTGTATTACCTGCGAAAACAATTAACGATTTCATTTAAAATATTCGCGTATCATAGATTAAAGCCAATATTCGAAGCAGACCTACATCTACATCCGAATAATGACCAGCGAATATTCGAAGCGGCTGATGGGAGTCGGTCGCCCAGAGTCTGGCAGTCTTGTCGTGCGAAGATGTCGCGAAATAGTAACCATGAGAGGAAAATCTGACGCACCAAACTGGAAACAAGTGTCCCTTGTAGCACACGACACATGTCCATGTATGCAGTGACCACAGTCTAACTGTAACACGAATAAGATCCAATGGTAATAATGGTATATGTCTAATTACTTGTCAAGCCAAACTTTGTTGCTCTGTAATATGTACCTGTACTATCTTCCGACGACGAAAGAAGAAGATTCCTGTCTGGGCTGAACGACAAGCTGTACACGGGACCGTTATGCCCGAAAAGTGACCTCGACGATTCCGCTGTACGGTCATCCATCATTCTTACTAATACGTCATCTGTCGTATTATGACACGAATGTGTGTTTAATATCCATCTTTACGAAAATGTTTACGTCTTGCCACATTAACGAGTACTACCTGCTTCTCTGTCGATGTCCTGTAATTGTTCGCCAGTCTTCATCAGTCTTAATTTCTGTGGAATCAAGGTCCACACTTTTATACTAGAGTCACTGAATCCAATGGCCAGTAAACTGGAGTCCTCTGCCACTTCTGCCGCTGTCACACTGACTCTCGTGTTATACATACATTCAACTTAACGCGATACACTTAATCTTTACGTGGACTTACGTATGGATCGCGTTCAGAAGCGTGTAAAAACATATCGAAGGTAAAGTATCTGGACCAAGTACGACACGCTTCGATGCTTCCCTAAGTGCTTTTACTTTCTCCAATTTATCGGCGTCCTTTCTGTAGTCGAACAAATTGAGTTATTTAGGATAAGAATCGAGCAAAGTTTTACTAAAACAATTACTTACAAATTGGGCAAAGGCATCCTACCAACAGGTGGTGCATTCGGATCTGATTTGGTTTTCTTTGAAAATAAAGGATCTTTTTTAGCCTTTTTCTTTTTTGGTTTGTCTCCGTCCGCACCACCTGTATCGTCCTCCTCTTCCTCGGTTGGAGGCACGCATTGAATGTCTGGCTCCTTCAGAAGTCCATAATACACTTTTGCTTTATTATCTAGAGGAAAAAATTTAAATTGCACATCGAGCACACAAAGGTATAACGTACCACTACTCTTTATTTCTCTTAAATTTGAAGATTTCAATTAACGATGTTACCTTGTCTAGTCGCTTCCCCAACTACAGCACCTGATGTAGCATCAATTTGCTGTTTATTTCTAGCCACTCCTTCGTACATATCAAAATAAAGATGTTCTTGTATGATATTTAACAACACGCTGTGTTTCTTTTCTTGTAAGTGTCGTTTCAATATTGAAAGAGTATCTCTTGACATTCTAATTATAAACTGATTGGATCTGCAGAATGTTTCATATAATATGTAATACAAAATTTCAGTAGAAGTGAAAGTATTGTATGAGACTATTTAATGTACATACTTAAAAGTGTCTGTTAACTCATTGCCTGCCATCTGTTCGCGTCTGGTAACATTGGATAATCTTTTTAAATCATTCTGATAGTATTCTTCCAAGTTACTACCACATTTCTCCAGAAGTTGCTTTGCTTCCTCCGAATGATTATTGTAGACCAATTCAAGGTACATGTGAACCAAGACTGGATACAATATTGTACCCAATTCATGCTATTTCACAATAAGAAAACAATAATTTTAATTTTCCACAGCTTTTAATCGATACAGTTATTACAGAGTGTAGTGGTTTACCTTGTATATATCTAAAGATCCTTCCACAAACTTTTTCAGTTCGCTGTATGCTTTTTCATATAGTGCAGGATCTCCCTCGCTTTTGTAAGCAGACAGAACACTGTTCACTTCAGAGTCAGTCTGCTGTGCTTCATCCGGAGAGATATCTGTCAAATTTGCTTCTTTCTTGAAGAGCTCTTCTGTCCCCTGTAAATATAACGTGCATGTAACAAATAAAATTATGCTTCTATGGATTATAGTCATTTATTTTTTACACGAAAATACCCAACTAATCAGTCAATATAGAGATAACGTTCAATGTTTACTTTCAGTCATGAGGTTAGAAAGCGTTTAACAACGAAATATTCTACTATATACCTTCAGATTATATTTCCTAAGCAGCTGCAGAACCGCGAGCATAGTACTTTTCTCGTTGTCCATTTTTTCATAAACTATTATGTCAAAAAAGTAAAATATATATTGATAAACAAACAGCGCAAACCCACTTCTGTAATCGACGCGCACATATGCAGTTAACCGTGCTCTAGGTAAGCACTTGATCGAATGTTTGTTAAATTAATACAAATATTTATGCACTTGAGCGGTATTGTTATAAAGTATAATTCACTGGTAATACTCAAGGACCATTGTTGTTACGATTTTTATTGAAATTAAATAATTATTAAACAATTTCGGAAGCGTTGTGCGGTTAGGGCGGCTATTTCCCGACATACGTCCGCAATCGGAAAGAAAATTAGGGCGGCTACTTCCCGACATTGGACCACAACGGTTATTCGAAGGAAAGTGGCGTCCCCTGGTGGCATGTCGCCGAAGCTCCGATTTTGTAATAGGATCACAGGACATGACAGGACAGGAATTATTAATGATTATTGAGTGAGAATACGCATATGGCATCGCACTAATCGTTCGGTCTCACCCAGTAATCATTAATAATTTCTTAATAACAATCAAAATCGTATCGTGAATGGTCCTTGAATGTTGCTAAGGATCTAAACTATCTTCCACGAATGCACAAGTGCATCAATTATCTTCGTAAAGTTGTGTAATTAGCGAAATGTCTATTAACATTCACGTTTGACAATATGACGGTTGCTATCCTTGTCGCACAAATACCTTTCTCTCTCGCACATAATGCTTTCCTTCTCGCA